GCATGAGTACACAGCCTAAACCCTGATTTGACGCATCACAATAGACTATAAAGTCATCCGTTCCTTCGGGTAGCGATAGCACCGGTGCACTGCAGAGTGCTTGCTTCAGAGATCGAAATGCAGTTTCCTGCTTGTCCGTCCATACGAAGGGTACGCCCTTTTGCGTAAGAATAGTAAGTGGTTTGGCCGTCCTAGAGAACTTCTGGATGAATCTCCTGTAATAGCCTGCGAGACCCAGAAACTGGCAAATTTATGTGGGTGTTGTTGGGATTGCTCATCCTTCGATAGCTTGGATTTTAGAAGGATCCACATGAATTCCTTCCTGGCTAACAACATGTCCCAAAAAGTTCACGCTTCATAGCCAAAACTCGCATTTGGAGAGTTTTGCGTACAACTTTTTGGTTCGTAGGGTTTCCAGGATTTGTCGAAGGTGTTGGCCATGTTCTTCTTCGCTTCGGGAATATACTAGGATATCATCGATGAAAACAATTACGAAATTATCAAGAAAAGGTCGGAAAATTCGATTCATTAGACCGAAGGGCATTACGACGAATTCATAATGTCCGTAATGAGTTTGGAAGGCGATTTTTGGAATATCCTCCTCCCGGACCTTGAGTTGGTGGTATCCAGATCGCAGATCTATCTTTGAGAAGTGACTAGCTCCTTGGAGCTGATCGAATAGGTCGTCGATTCGTGGAAGTGGATATCGGTTTTTGACAGTAAGATTGTTAAGTTCTCTATAGTCGATACACATCATGAATGTACCATCTTTCTTCTTGACAAAGAGAACTGGAGCTCCCCAAGGTGAGAAACTGGGTCAGATGAATCCTTTATCCAAAAGCTCACTTAGTTGAGTGGACAACTCTTGCATCTCCGCAGGAGCCAATCTATAGGGGGATTTGGCAATGGGGGTAGCTCCTGGTACAAGGTCCATTCGAAACTCGACTTGTCTTTCTGGGGGTATCCCCAGAAGATCATCTGGGAATTCACAAGCTACTAGGATGTCTTAAACTGTAACAGCCCGGATTTCCAGGTATCTTTAATTTCATATTTTTGGTATTTTGTGAGGGGACTCGGCGAGTTGGAGGTCGAACTCGCCGAGTCAGGTCGTGGTTTTGGACGAAGGTTCGCATCTGGACTCGGCGAGTCCGCGCTGTTTAATAAAACCCTAATTCTCCGGTCCTAAGCCTTATTTAAAGGACCTTATGGCCCTTCATTGCGGCCACCTTGAGCCTTGAGTGCACCAAAGCAGCTGAGAGTCCTTGTGAGTGAGATAAGAGGCTATTTGTTCACCAATTTGTGTGTTATTGCAAGAAAGGAAGGAGAAGATCAAGCTAGAAGAGTTGGGGAGCTTGGATCTGCTTCTATTTCGTCAAGGGAAGCTTCTTGAGGTAACTTTCAGAGCTAATCTTCGTGTTTTGGTTGATATGTCAAATCTAGGGTTTCTTCTTGCCTTATTTGACTTGTATTTGAAGTGTGAAAGGTCCCACGGAGATATGGAACCTAGATCTGGACCTTAGCAGGTCTAGAAGGCCCCAAATGATATGCTTTATGTCCATTCTTTTGAGTTGGAGACTAGGGTTGCCATATTAGAGGTTATTTCCCCAAAAAGAGCCTTGTAAGTGTTGCATGGCGGCCAAGACTGAGACTTTACGTGATAAATGAGCTTGGGAAGGCCAGATCTACGTGTGTATGGAACGGATCTGACCATAGAAGCAAATTTTAGCTGATGCATGGCATGGACTCACCGAGTCTGAAGAACAGACTCGACGAGTAGCTTGAAGATTGTCCTTAAAACCACCCAGTGAGTAGTCCTGCTGAGTTGTGGGTGACTCAGTGAGTCACAGAGAGTTAGAGAGGGATTGACAGGTGGACCGAGTCGAGTTGGGACTCGCCGAGTTGTCCTTGCGACTCGGCGAGTTGAGTCGCGGTGGCCCCGTGATTCATGACCAGGTGGAACTCGTCGAGTCAGGGGAGTACTCGACGTGTCAAAGGGAAAATCCTTGCGAGTTGGTGAAAACGCGTAGACTCGCCGAGCCGCTCTAGTGCACTCGCCGAGTCCGGTCAAATTGACCATTGACTGTTGACCAAAGTTGACCAGTGTTGACTTGATAGGGATGGTCAACCTTAGTGGTACAAGTATTAATTATAGATATATGATGTTATAGGAGGATTACAGCTCGGGGGTTCGAGCACGAGTGATTTCCAGGGTTCACGAGTTATCGAGATATACGAGGTGAGTCTTCTCACTATACTGTACTCGGAAGGGTTTAACTGTGTGACCCGAAGGTCGAATATGATATGATATATATATATATATATATATATATATATATATGCATTATGTGTGATAAGTTAATCGTTATATGTGCCATGTATGATATGCTTTATATGGGCTGGAAGGCATTATGTTGTGGGCCGGAAGGCGTTGTAAAATGGACCATAAGGTTTTCGTGGGTAGGACCGGAAGGTTTACCCAGACGGGACGGAAGTCCCTTGAGACACATGGACCGGAAGGTCAGGGCCTGGAAAGGTGTATATGCGTAGGTTGTATTTTGGGAAACTTACTAAGCATTTATGCTTACAGTTGTTGTGTTATGTGTTTAGGTACTAGCGAGGACCGTGGGAAGGCGCCGGCGTGATCGTACACACACTCGGGGGAAACTATTTTGTGATCTTTGTTATGTAATCGGTCGTGACAATATTGTTTACATTGGAACCTAAATTATTACTCGATGTTTTTTTTGATGTTTGTAAAAATGAAAATTTGGTTTAAAATTTACGCTGTTACATGAATGTTGACCTCTTTCTTGGATTTGTCTACTATGTAAGCTAGGAATGTTAAGTCCTTCTTTCGTAGGTGCTTCTGCGCCTTAATGCACGAGATAAGACGAAGGTTCATGCTGGGTTTATACCCGTAATCAACTAGGGTTTCACAATTGGGAAGATGAAGGCGAACGGCCTTCTTGTGACACATAATTTCAGCATAGTGGGGGCTTAACCAATCCATGCCAATAATCACATCAAAACTCCTAATGGAAACATGCATTAAGTTTATTTGAAATATGTGGTGATTTAAGGCTAGGGTACATCCGATATAGATTTCCGTAGTGGATTCTATCTTCCCATTAGCCATTTCCACCGTGAAGGTTTCATAAAGCTTCTAGGGTTGCTGATTTAACAAGTGTTTGAATTTATTGCTCACAAAACTCCGTTATGCTTCGGTGTCAAATAGGATGCATGCATAAGTTTGGTTTAGTAGAAACGTACCAGTAACAATAGTGGGATCGTGAACCACTTTTCCCTGACCCATAGCTAGCACCCTTCTTGTTCCTGCATTCCCAGAGTTGTTGGTGTTGGGGCAATTCCGACGGATATGCCCTGTCCTTCCACATCCGTAGCAAGTGGGGCTTGATCCCGTGTTATTGTTGCTGTTGTTGGTGTTGTTGTTGGTGTTGTTGTTGTTGTTGTTGCGGTTGCTGTTGTTATTATTGTTTCCTTGTGGTTGATTCTAGGGAGGATAGGTCCTGTAATACTTTACAGTGTGACCCTTCCGATTACAACTGGTGTAATGCATTTCCCTAGCATTCGCCGTTATGGTGGTAGTTGCACTTGTTGCACTTTGGGAGATTTCCAGAATACTGCCTAGGAGCACTTGGATTAGCTGAGGCTGGAGCATGTGGTGGGAAGGGTACTTGAGTGGTTGCAACATTGACTGTCACTGTTTATTGCTTCTTTTCCGATTCCGAGCCTTGTCGCCCTTTTCTCTTGTTGTTCTTTCCTTTCTTTTTGTCATTCTCTTTCTAGCCCTCGATTTCCGTTGGCTTCTCGCCCTTTTTGTTGTTGTGGTCGTACAGCTTCTTGGCCAATCTCTTGGCGCTGTCGAAGGTTTCAAGTTTGAAAGCGATCACATTTCCTTGGACCCGGGAGGTCAATCCCCAGATGAATCATTCGATCTTCTTTCCTTCAGACGTAATCATGCCAGTGCACAATAATGACAGCTCGCTAAACTTTGATATGTATGCATCTATATCAGAGTTTCGGACGGTGAGATCCCACAGCTCTTGCTCCATCTTCTGAATTTTGCCACGAGGGCAGTACTCAGCCATCAGCATTTCCTTCAGCTCCGTCCATGGCATCGAGTTGGCTACAGGGAGATTCATGGCCTCTATATGTTCATTCCACCAAGTGAGAGCCTGATCGACAAAGGTGCACGCGACAAACTTCACTTTCAACTCCTCGGGGCATTCACATATTTTGAACATTGATTCCACCTTCTCAATCCACCTTTTTAGGGCTATCACACCACCTGTGCAATTAAAGGTTCGCAGTTTGGCATTGGTGAAATCCTTGTAGGAGCATGTTTTGGTCGGTCCTTGATTGATCCCGTTGTTCGAACTTCCTGCCCCTTGTCCGTTGACTCCTCCATTGTTCCCTTAGTGAATCTGTGCCATTGTTGCGGTGACCGCAGCAGACACAGCTGCTTGGAATGCAGCTGAGTCAACCTCTGGAGGGGTTGGTCCAAGGTTACCGCGAGTCGGTCATCGAGGCATCTTTCTGTCATGGAACGGAAAGATGTTGAGTGCCTATGGTTTCGTGAGATGGTGATCCTATAAACTAGGTGTGTGACACGAACTTAAGCAATTTCACAATTTAGCATACAATCACACACACACATATATATATATATATATATATATATATATATATATAACACATAGCAGATTACAACATCATAGTGGAACACATAAAACTTTTTATTAATATTATCCGCATTTTTTTTAATTGAAAATTTTGCTCGGAAAAGCAATACATAAGTAGTGCAATTTCGGCAGCATAACGGCTCTATGAATAGTGTAATCACTTAAACATATAGTCGAGGTACATAACATAGATCCTAGTGACATAGTACTAAAGATGGGTATGACTAGTCCCTCGTACGGTGAGATCTATATAGCAGGTAGTAGAGCAGGTCCTATTAGTAAAGATGATGACGACGCTCAATCGTCGAGGTGACGCACTAGAAGTTCGGCCAATTCATCCGCCTCTTGGGTGATTACCTCTACTTTTCGCTCGGGTCGCACAGCCCTTGCCTTGGCCATGATGAGTTGAAGCTTCAGGCTGACAACTGCCTCCTCTAGAGAGCGTAGATAGTCTGTATCCACCCCTTGAAACATGCGGAAATTTGACGGGGCTTCCGAATGGTGAGGTTCACTACGCGCCTCCTCTACGCCCTTTTCTTCGTCTGGCTCCCAGTCCAGCTCATCATAATCAAAATCAAATATCACATATTCGTCCTATTCCTTTTCAGGTCTAATGTTGTGTGCCCCTCCTTGATCTCCTTCCGGATCATATTCGATCATCCCGTGTGCTACTAGGACCTGGTGAAACTGAAGGCCCTGGTGTTCTCCTTCCATGTCGACTGAGAAGAGGCATGCGAATAACTATTGTTACTCCTATGACGCTTCTATTATTGTATAGATTGAGTTGCGTTTCTCTTTTTGGTGCTAAAGGGGTAGGCTTTTAGGTTTTTCTTACCATCGCGATTTCCTTGGGTCACATGATAGTTGCATCTTGGAGGAAATGTAGTTGCTCAGGCTACATCCTCTCCTTGATACAACCGTGAACAGTCCCGACTTACCCGAGATGATAGCATTATCTTGTTTGGTTTGGTATTATATTCTGTTTCCTAATTCACACAGGCAAAATGTTTTATAGTTGTGTTCTTATTTGTTTTGTTTTGTTCAGAGTTGGGTTAGTCCCTTTTTGGTTTATAGTTGCATATTAATGTGTGGTTAGATATGCTAGTTCACTATAAACAATGCTTTGATACCAACCTATCACACCACCGAACCATACGGCGGAAACGTTCGAGGGCTCACGTGACTTTAATTGAATATCATCACAATGAATATACATGAATCATAACATAAGCGTCACCATGCATCAATATATTACAAATGGAATTCTTCACATCAAGTACATTATTTTAACACTACACATCCATAACCTAAATTGTTTAAGTACATTTAACAACATAACAACTAACATTACTTCTTATAACTCTTCCGCTTACCTTTACCTGAGAATACAAGTTATTTTGGAAAAACGTCAACATATGAAATGTTGGTGAGTTCATAAGCAGTGTTGTGATAAAATGATTTGTGTATTTTGTAAAACCCAGAAAATCCGATATTTTCTGAAAAGACTTTTGTTTATCAAAGTGTGAAGATCCATAAGTTGATGCATGAAATGATATATATATATATATATATATATATATATATATATATATATATATATATATATATATATATATATATATATATATATATATATGAAGGGTATTCTGTAATATAGTTATAAAGTTTCGAACGAGTAGTATAGAATTCCTCGGAAAATCCCGATGTTTTCCGATGTTGAAATTAATTCGCAATTACTGATTTTTGTATTGTCTTAACGAATGAATATTGATTAATCCATATTATATACCTTCCTAATTTGTGTCTACTTTGATTTCTCGTAAGCCTTAACAAACGAAGAGAAGGGGAGTATTATGTCCCACTACTATCGTAAGTACCTTAGGCTGTCGTAGATGCGAAAGACACGATGATCCAACTCGCACTTGATTACTGTGACCTTACTAGCTTTTCTAACAGGACACTTTGGCCCACTAGCACATAAAAGCTATTGAAAGTCCTTTTATAAAATATTGGGTCATTGAAGGCCCAATAACATATAAGCGTTATCCCTATGGGCCCAAAGATCATGTTGGTAGGCTTGCAAGGCCCAAAGAGCATGATTTGAAACTCATAAGCCCAAAGTTTGTAGATTTACACATTGTAGTCATCACGTATCTATTGAAGTGTTTTTAAATTGATGCTTGTTGTGTTGTATTGATTCGAGACCGAATCCATTCGTTTATAACGATATTTGGTATTGAAGGTGTATTCGTTTTCCGTTTTATCGCTAGTCGGGTATCTTGTATTTTCTCTTAATGAATTAATTTGTTTAAAAGTATGATTTTACCATTTCACTACCTTTCTTTTATAAAGATAACACTTTTAGTCCTTTATATAAAAGAATTTCATTTTTAGTCCTTAAAACATTTTCTTGACACTTTTGTATCATAAAATTGTTGAAAAGACATTTTTAACCCAAAATTTAATTTGTAAATAGCTTTAGCCCTTCCAAATTGGAGATTCTCGGTTAGAACCTCTTATTTCGCAACTTTTACAGTTTTGGCCCAAAATATAAAAAGTTTACATTTTTGATCCTTTTTGAAATTGAAAAGCATTTTTGACCTTTGAAATAGTTTTATTTTACTTCCTGACCCCTTTTTTGCAGAATGTTACAATTCAGCCCCTTAAAACTTCAAAATTTCGCAATTATGGGCTTCTTGGGCTGAAAAGCCCAAATTTAGCCTCATGAACTAAATTTTTGCATTTCAAGTCCTTTGAAAATTCTAATATTCAGGAAATTGATTATAGAAACTATTTTGGTTCTTTTTACCCTCAAGAAACCTTGAATTTACCGTTTTTAACCCAAGTTTTGTATTTTTGACAATTTAAGTCCTAAAATGGGTTTTATGTTAGAATATGTTCCTCATAACCTTATAAGCAATTTTTCTTGACTAGATTAGTGTAAAAAAACTTAGATTATGTTTGTTTCCTTTCTCATGTCATAGATCTCGAGTTAATACCCCTTTTGGTTGCATTTTCATCACAAAAACACATGAAATCACACACATACATGCATAAAATCACACATAGCATACAAATACACATAGATCTACACATTTTCTTGTATTCTCCCCCATAAAACATATGAAAACCAAAAAAAGAGGGGTATAAAGCTCACCTTGTGTTGTAGTTTCGGTTTTGAAGAAGACTAGAAGAAGAAATTTCGATCCTAGCAAGTCTTCTTGGAGGATCTCGAACTTAGATGCTTCTAAGGTGCAAGATCACAAGATTGAATGGATTTAGAAGAGATTTTTGGATGAAATGAAGTAGCTAGGTCATGGATTTAACATCAACTTACCTTATATGATGTGTTTGTGGGAAAAATCTCCTTGAAAGCTTCCTAGATCTCGAAAATTTGGAGAGGAGTGGAGAGAGTTTCTTTTGAGAGAGTTTGAGTGAAGTGTGTGTATGTGTGTGTTTGGGTTCGGCCGAGAGGAAGAAAGAGAGGAGAGAAGAGAGAGTGAGTGAGGTGATGTTTGTATACAAGCATGAGATTTTGCATGGAAACCCCACAAATAATAGTGAGGTGGCTATGAGAAGTTAACTCTCTCTTTCCTTTGTGGTTTGGGCTGAGAATGGAGAGGGGAAAAGAAAAGAATTGGACCTTGTATGCTTAAGCCCATTATATGGTTATGTCAGATGATTTTTGGCCCAATGAAAATCAAAGAACGATTTTTATGACCTATTAGGGCTAATATAAATTTGTTTTGGTCCAATAAGGCCCATTAAAGTTAATCTAGTTTATTTTGGGTTCATAAGGCCCAAAAATGTTAGGTTTCATGTATATGGGTCCAATTAGGGCCCATTTGAGAGTTCTAGGTTCAAGATAGTTAAATCGGGAGCTCATTGGTCCATTAGGTCCAATAAGGAAGTCTTAGTTCAAAGTGAACTCAATTTGGAATTTCAAAGGTTTCCAATTCTTTGTTGACCATTTGTAGGGCTAGAATGAAGTTTTGTTGTTATAGAATAAGCATCATGCATGCTTTCATGTTATTGATTTATAGTTGTTATAAGTGTTGTAGTTACAAGGCACCAAAATTCCTAGTTGTGACATATATGTATTTTCATGAATATAATACATAAGGTAATTAAGGGTGATGAGAGATTAGAATTATTATATTTCATAGTATGATGAAAGTTAAGATACCATACTATGATGAGAGTTAAAGCTGATAAGGTTCCATGTTGGGTCGAATGTATGTAGCGAGGAGTCGAAAGTAGTCGGAGTTTGTAAGGTGTCGAAAGTAGTCTAGTTTCGACAATCTATCTATATACAAGGAATCTTAGTTTCTACACTTAAATGTCTAATCCTTGTATCTTTTTGTGATTAAGTTGTACCCTATAAATAGGGTAAGTACATAGAGTAGAGGAACGAATGAACTAAGTGTTATTTGGATCTTGTACTCTCATTTTCTTGTGTACTCTTCAGATGTAATAGAGCCAAAACGTATCATATTTAGACGTTGTGTCTTCTTACAACTTTTATTGATGGAATTGTGTTCTTAATCAATCTCTAACTTACATCAATTGGTATCAAAGCAGGATTCACTAAATCAATTGAAGTTTTCTCGTATTTTTTTAATTGCTCGTTCCGATTCAAAATAATTTGCAAATTGAATCAGGAAACCATTGGCAATTGGTTATATTGAATTGATTCTACACTCTATGTGTTAGATCGATTGATTTCTGATCACTCTCTGATTGATTTCGTTCTTAGATTTTTATTTGAATAAAAATTCTTTTTCTTCAAAATCCATACAACAATGGCAAATTTCAATATGAACACGATGTCTAATTTCTCTCACTTGCTAGAATCATCAAAAAAGATTCTAATGTTGATTCCAGAATATTATGAGGAATAGTCTGACAGGATGGAGGATTATCTGAATAGGAGTGATGAAGATCTGATGATATCCATCAAAAGAGGAGAGTTTTGGTAGGCGATGTTGGTCGATGTTGGTACGTCTGCAAGTCCTGATGACATGATCACAAGAGAATCCAGGATGAAGGAAACTGACAAGAAATGTGTACGTGAATTACGTGGTGCTCTTCCACCAGTAGTCTACAATTACGTTCGAGGATGTAAAACTTTAAAGAAAATTTAGGATACACCAAATGAGAAATATTAGGGAAATGAGAAGACAAAGAAGAGTCCAGTCAAACAATGCCTGCTAGAGTTGGGAGAATTCAAGTAGAAGGAAATAAAACCAATCGAATCATACTATGATCGATTGAATGAATTGATCTTCAAGTGTTATCACTTTGGAGTGACACATTTATCACAGATTTTAATCTCACCTTTCTCATGGGTTTAAGAAAGGAATAGAGAAATATCAGTTTGATGATCAAGACATAAGAAAGCTTTGATGGTTACTTACTTGCAAATCTGTACAATGTCTTGAAGGCACATGAAAGTGACATCAATGATAATACTGGAGGAAGTAAACTGAATCTGGGAGGACCTTTGGCTTTGGTATCGAAAGTTGCTGCAAAGGAATTTGAATTCGAATATGATGAAGAAGCCAAAATGGTGAAAAAGGTTTCTTGTTTAACTCTGATGATGAAGTTGCCACATACTACTCGAATAACAAAGTGAAGAAATTCTTTAAAAAGCCTTTTAATCCAAAATTTAAGAATATCAATGAGGTTAAAGGAAACATGTCATCTGGAAAAAGTGTGAAGGATGACTCGAAAGTAGAGAAGAATGATGTTAAGGGTTTATATAAGAAGAAGAAAGAGGAGGAGGGGTTAAATTTAAAAGGAGACTCGTTTTACGACTGTAATTAATGCAAAGGGTCG